TCAATGAGGAATCCGTAAATGTGCACCGTATTTCTTGATCACCCTTCGGCTTACAATTCTGCGCTCCAATCCCTGCTAATTAACAAACGGCGAACCCCTGCTCTTGAATGGTTTGCAGATAACTTTTCTAAATGGCATCAGTATTTGAAATTAGAACAAAGAAATTAGACGGACCCACACAATAGTTGGGTGTAGTACAGGGTGCTGTCTTATCACCCAATCTCCTTGCAGCTTACATCAACGACAGTCCTGTAAATCCGATTCGACATTGCAAATATGCTAATCGTATTGTCAACTCTATCCCCATTTCTAATAAACCCAAATTTGCGTATCCTACATTTTCAGGTCTTCATGTTGAACCTGACATGCATCGAACGAATGTTTCCTTGTTCGTCCCAAAATATAAAGAGTAAAGGAATGGTCAATCGAGTGAAGCACTTGGGTGGCAACCATCGAATCTTCATTGGTTCCTACAGGCCTAAACTGTTGCTCGCAAGGTGGAAGGACAATCTTCGTAAATGAGCGATATTTTCGCAATAATCGATCAATGAGAAGGACTTGTTCACCGGTGTACTCGCCCTATACTCCTCTAATTCTGTCTAATGCTTTTCCCTCCCAGCTCATTCTATCTCGTATATGCATCAATACACGGAAACCTTTTACCACCATGGTATGCTCGGATTCCGACTGATAAAATGAAGATTCGTTCTGAGTGACACAATTCATTCAGTAGTTCGTTCGCAATTTTTTTAGTTTCCCTTCCAATTCTCACCTTTTTTTTAACAATATTGCTTTATTTCATTGCACGCTTCAGTATCAATCGCTGAAACTCAAATACGAAACATTTGTTGGGATTCAAGGAATTATTTTCCTATACGCTCTTATTCCCTAATCTTTGATATGAAGGCGCGTGCACGCAACAAGGAAAAAGCAAATCGCACCAAGTNCTTACCCAGTGCATTGCTCACAACTTGGTGCGATTTGCTTTTTCCTTGTTGCGTGCACGCAACAAGGAAAAAGCAAATCGCACCAAGTTGTGAGCAATGCACTGGGTAAGGGTATGACCATAAAGGTACTGCATTATATTTAGCACTTCGGACAAGTGAATTATTTAAATGATAAACTTCGATAAATGAATCAACAGAAAGGATGAACACTGTAAGAAGCGTTCGCCTGAACACGATCATAGCAAGTGAAAAGCGCATAATAACAATTTGTTGGCATTATTGGAAAGGCACATAATACCAAACTATTAATCGGTTGACGCTAAACTGTAACGGGTTCAAACTCTATGCTCACATAACTGCACCTTATTCACTTTAGTAATATAGCCTGAAACGATCAAAAGAGAGATCGATATCGCCTAGTTAAAACAATGACCTCACCAAGCATATCCCGTTCCTGAGCGACTGCATCGAGGAATGCATCCTCCCAAAATTGCAAATTGTCCCACAATCGAGAACGTGTTTGAGCACCACTGGTCAAATCCTCAAACACAAAAGTCCGACCAACTTTGATCCGATTTTCTATAGGTTTATTAGTATTATTATCCCCGTTTGACAGTTCGTTCCAGCGCATGTATTGCACATCACCCAGTGAGCGACGATGTCTACGATCGGGGGAAATGCGTCGAGCATCCTCGGGGTTTGCGTTATTCGGTGCAAGCAAGTGGGAGCGACGATATCTATAAAGCAGATTTGAGCAGACAGATTGAGTGACTGCTTGGAAGCAAACGATCACATTTGAAGTACTCTTAGGATGTTGTGTGTCATTGAAAATACATGAACATGCAAGCACAGGTTACACAAGTCAATACAAAACAATCAAGGTGAGAAGAGAGGAAACATGGGAATTTAGCGAAAATTCAAAACCAATTCCAGCATAACTGTAACAGAAAACAAATATGAGCATACCGATAACCGCGACTTTGTGAACTTTTGTTAGTGGTCAAATTGGCACTGTCCATATCGTCCAGCCGAGGGGATCGAGTCGAACTGTAAGGTTCCGGGGTCCGTGAACGCAGAGCACTCGGATCGGCTGGAAATTCAAATACGGTGTTCGAATCACTTGAATCGAGAATTTCCTGACGCGGAGTGCGTGACTCCGATGCACGAGTACGTCGTGCTTGTGGCGGCCGGACAGACAAAAGCCGTTTCTGTGCCCCGTTGGGTGAGTCCGCGTGTGAGGTGCGAAGAGGTCGCCCATCAGGACTGGAAGTCAAACTTGTCGTTCGGATGCGCAAAGACCGTGTAAGATCAGGAGGGTGTGGAGTGAGCGAATCTCCATCCGAATCAGCTATTCCGGCACCTTTTGAATAGAAAGGGAATTCATTTCAATCACATATGCCAGCAGCATAATAATATTGTTCTGCCAAAATAAAACAACAAAACACAACAAATAATCTAACGAAAATGACAGAGTACCTGGAACAAGGACAACAATCAGGCGAACAATAACACAAAGATTTCGCCGCTCACAAGGTATTATCAACCACCAGAAAAATATGTTACGATAGATCGCATCAAAGACCCGTTTCAATTGTGACTTTATCGGCCTCGGTGAGATTCGAACCCAGGTAAAGGGGCCGGCCAGCGTTTTGTACATAATACAGTCTATCACCTGGATTCCTGTGAGTTGTAGAATAAATCTACAATGAAAGACAACTTGTGTAGTAATCGATGGATTGATTCTAGGTGCTTCGGTAAGTTGGGTGGACGAAGAAATGTGGAAGCATCAACGCTGTTGGTGTGAGCCCGTTGTTCAACCGGTAGTGTGTGGTGTAGAAGAATATGATTAAGTTCTAATATTAGTGAGGCTACAAATATGTTCACAATTCAAATATTATCACGATGCATTTCTGTTCTGCTTTCAGTCACACTACAAGGTGGTTTTCATTTGCTTTTCAAAATTGTTCTTTCTATTTGGTTATGTTCATTTTGATACATACATAAATTAACCAAGAAAATGTGCGTTCAAGGAACCCCGTAGTTCAGTGGTATTGAAGGTTTGTTTGCAGAAAGTTGGAATGCAGTGTCTGACTGCGAAAGCCCAGATGAAAATTTGACGTAGCACGTCGATTGAAGACTATCATAAAGGACACGATAAAGCGGTTACTGAAAGGTGCGACCCAATCAGGAACACTGCGTGAAGTCCAGTTGGGATTGACTAATTCAGTGGGCAAAATACCCCAGGGTTAAATCAATTTGATAATCTCAGATGAGAGATATGCTGTTGAGTAATCCGTTGTCATAGGGGAAGTGTTTGGCTTGTCATAAGTTATTGAAGGTTTGGTAAGCTATGCCCAATAAGACTACACATTCGGCACAAATATTGAATCAATTGAACAAAAGGGTATTTTATTATTTGTATTACGACAGGATTCACATCATAGCGGAGTTGCAATGTGCCATTAAAGTGGGTATATGAAANATATGAAAACTGAGCGCTAGCATAATCCTAACACACACTTACTCGGTGTCACGCGGTACAATTTATATTTATTGACCTATTCGTGCGGCGGGCAGAAAATTTTTATCAAACAAACAGACAGGAACAACAAAAGAAAAATTGGAATGCTAAGCCGCATGAAATGGGATTAGAAAAAGGCAAAGGATACGTCACTTAAAATATTATTCAATAAGGTCTTACTGCTGTAAAAAATTTCAGAACAAAGGATCGAAACCATTGATGAAAACAGATAAAAACTCCGTGAACCGTTCAGATAATAAATCATAGTACGTCAATGTTAACACTAAACTTTGGAGGATTTAACACGGGTGGTGGTACAGTGGTTTAGTTACTGTTATCCGTGTGTTGGACCCTGTAGTTCGCACCGTGCCACCGCCACCCAACTTTGGCGGTAGGCAGCTTTACTGTCGTCCGGTTCAATACTAAGCCTAATCTAGTGCAACCTCCCCAAAGTTGTACGCATGATGTTGACCAGCCTGGCTACAAAACGTGAGTGAACAACACTTCCAGTTCGCTGGAAAACACCAAGAACAACATCCGCATCCCGAGCCACAATTATCCCATATTATTTACAACATCTCAGGTTAATTTGCAGGAGAGAATGGAGACCAGTGGCATACAAAAATAAAATCGAAACAATATGGTAAGCCAGATTGTGTCGCTTATTTCCAGTTTGGTGTCCAGATCGTTGAAACTATGACGGGGAGCCATTAGAATGCTGGCAAAAACAAGCATCAACTGAACTTTTCCTGCGGCTAAACTTCTCTTCACACTCGCCTAGTGGCCCGGAATGTCAAAACTGAAAGAAACAGTTTCCGATTTTAGGTGCACTTTTCCCCGTGGAAGAGCGTACGTTGGTTGCATGAGCAGTTGCACGACTCCATGAAGTTGCGAGCGACAGGGATTAGTAGCACACGAGAGTCATGAGCAAAATCTGTTCAGCCAGGTCACATGGTGGATTTGATCAGGCCGCTTCATTCCGCGGACCACATAAGTTAAAAGCAATCTAAGCGGATTAAACCCCATATGCTGATCACTCTAGGAAGAGGTGGTCATTCGCATTCGTCCTCTGCATTCCGTCTCATTTTGCGCATAAAAAACAATTATCGAAGATACTGTTTCCCATTGCCATCTGTTCACCCCATGGTTTCCATACTGTCGTAACTATCCAAGAATCCGGTCCGGACATAAAAATGAAGACTAAAGATATCATCTAACTCATTTATTTCGAATTCATATTCGTTCCCCGATATCTTCCCTGTAGCTACAAAAACTATGGTATATTATTACTATACTGTGGTATACTAACCAAAGGAGAACAATTACCGAACCCAAGTCAAGCACATCAGATGGTTTCTTTTTCTTTGTGTGCTGGCAGTCTCATTGGATATGAGTTTGAGGGGATTTTGAATGCAGTACCTGGTTTTCTTATAGCCCCAAATTCACCTGATCCGTGGCACAGAAACAATGAAGTGAGACAGATCAGTAGACGAAATTATAACTATCCTCGGTAGATCAAGGCCATGTTATAGGAAACGTCTCAATACGTAACTGAATTTCGGAATCGCAATGTCACAAGTTGGGAGTGTTGTGGTGCTAAAACAAACAAAGCAGCAATATTCGAAGGGAGACGACCAAAGATAATCAAATCTAGCTGACGCTACTGATTGAATCTCCCACTCATCGTCTGATATTTGTCTCGCTGATTCATCTCGTTACGTATTTGCAATGCGGTGCATTAGGGGATGTTGCACAAATTTCAAAAATTGACTTGGTGCAACAAACTATGTGACACGTTCAGCGTGCGATTGACGTTTGGACCACGGGCACAACATCGGGGTGACCAAAACGACATCACCGTAACCGAGTACGGCGAGAGCACTCGCATGCTCAGGACAAAACACATGCACACGTGCAAACACAACGGACCATACAAGAAGAGAAAATAGGCTTATGAGAAAGCCATCGTACTGGATTTCGGGTATCCAAAAGACATCAGTGGCGTAGTCGGATGGGATGTGGATTGCATGATCCAGTAACGCTCGCCTGACAGTTTCGCTTTGCCCGACAGTTTGAAGCCCTTTCGTATGCATGGATCACGCTCGTCTTCAGTATTCAGACTAGGGTCCTGATGACAACCTGTTGCCGAGTCACAAGTGACAAACACATGTGGCGACGACGCATGGAACCCCGGAGACTTACGATGCAGCAGAGAGACAGTATTATAGAAAGATGATGTAGCTGTGCTTAGTTTGGAAGAGGATTCGTGCAACTGACGTCGTATCTCGCACCATGTCTCGGTGATTTCAGATGTGGTCGCCTTGTTCCAGAAGTTTTGAAGCAAAATGGGAAATCGGGTCGAAAATGCTTGACCATCCGGAACCGCTTCACTGGTGCCCTCAGGATGGACAACTGACAATCATACGGATATATTTATAATGCAAACAAATGAAGATGAATTAAAACTGAGAATGTAAACCCGGAACCATAAAAGACATCATACCGGTGATCATGCAAATAGATGCAAAGGAATTCAATACTTTAGGTCGTCTCAGTACGAATCTAATCTACGTATAGACACAACCCACAACTATAAATCGCGTGATCTTTACCGGACGGAAGGATAAAATAAAAATGATTTTTCTAATTTGGCAAATTCAGACTGTGCTAACCAGATCCGGCAACAGTCAAGGGTATAGAGTGGCTAGCATTCGACTCGAATAGATNTTACCGGCTACCAACCGAAGAAGACAAACCAGGGCAACAGAGAAAACGTTCATTGTAAGTACGATGCATCGAACACCAAAGTCCATTTTCAAGCTTACTTCTGTGACAGTTGCGAAACGAATAAAATTCTTCAACGAAACAAACAATTGCATACTAAATTCACGAAGAAGAGTTGCGTTCAACCTAAGGCTGTCGGAGTGGTGGAAACGTTGGGGGAGGCGGACGATAGGATTTGACCACTGAGATTTCGGGACAATATGGTAATATACGCCGCAAAATTACTTGTTACGGAATGAGGGTGGTGGCACAAACTTATTTGGCCTTCCATTATTCACGNGACAAAAGACGTCTGTGTGGACCGGTCGTACTTGTTCTCCTTGAAAAAACGGTTCTCGTACACTAACCAAACGAACACGATGACATTTACCTTGTGTAACAATGAACACCGTTGAATTGCATGATTCAATATCAGATAAATTTTTCGTTGGGATGAAGACAACATTTTACGTGTGCTGTCTGAGCTGCTTTCAAACACTACTCAGTTGATGCAAACCCGATGGTTAGAAGGAACGCATATAAGGGGGAAAGGAATGAGTAAAAACTATTAGTGAGCGTAGATGCCCGCGAGGACATCGGGGAAAAGAAACACAGAAAACTGTTGGTCAAACGAATTTGATAAACACCAATAGGTAGATTATCCATTTTCGCTTCAACTTATCATCATCATCATCAACGTACAGCGAAATACGGGGAAGCGAACTTCGCCGACCACTGCCAAAGTCGCAATGCACATGCATTGGCGTATGATGGAAAGGTGCTACTACAGTGTCCATCCATTAAGCAGGAGGACGACTAGGGTTCTCAGCAAAAGCCTTTAGTTTTAACAAGAACTTATGTAGTCGCAAGGCAGCGGGTAAAGCGAAGTGAGGGCCCATTCACCTGGATCAATTACTCCTCCACCATTTTTTACCGACTGAAGCGCCAACTCTAGTCAAACCCCAACCTGGAGGACCAGGAGATTGGACTTTGTCCGACCTCTACCATTCGACCTTCAGGCACGATTAGATCTTCGGCTTGGCAAAAACTATCCTGTGTAGCTCGTTGGGTCAGAGAGGTGCTTGATCAAAAACACCACGTCAAAGCGGAATCTTGTCGATTTAATTAAATCTGGTTGCTGTCTTTTGACTGCCCATTTGAATGAAGAGTAACCAGAAAGATGGGAAATTCGAAAGTAGAGTCGAAAGGAAATGGAAGAATTTGAATACACTAAGGTTGCAAAGAAATTGAGAAGATGCACAAGCAGCGTATTTAACCACTGATTACCATGATCCCGAGATCCCCATCCAGGAAACCTAACGCGACCTGTTTAACCGAGCCTCCTGGTTAGGGTTTTCATACTCTCATACCAGGCTTAGTTTGACCACCCTTCGTTTTTGTATGCTTGGTGGCTAGTTTCCGGCAATTTGCTCGCCATCTGATACAATGGTACGTTCTACAAGGAGTGCATTGTTAGTGGATGGAAGTACGACAGCGAATCTACAGTTCAACGACTATGTGATTAAAATCTCGGGGGTCAGGAATCACTGATACTGAGCTTATTTGCTAGATTGCATTTCCCTCCGGAGTCGATTAGCACGGATATTTCTAAAAATCGCATTTCTGTATGCAAACACAAATTCTTCAACGGTTCTGCCACAACGAACAGGTTGCACAAATGAACACTATCGGTCAATGGCTGTGTAAAATACGCGCAAAGTGAACAGGAAGAAATAGATGAGACAACGTCGATGTAGAACTCATTTCATAAGAAATGATTCCGTGATTCCGCCCTGAGAAACAATGCAGATTCGTATAATACGTCTAAATTACGAAGCTCTTAGTTCTGTGATGACTCACACGCATGAAAACACAACTACACATTCCGCCAACTTTCATCGATTGGCACTATATGAATTCGTCATCCGGATCAAACACCTATGGCGCACAATTGGGAACATTTGTGACGAAATTGCATTGAAAATGTCGAACCGCCAGGGTCAAGTATTCATTGGCAGCAGTTAGAGCAACCAATAACAATAAAATAATCACAGAAGGAATCAAAATTTTAGGAAAATTGGTGGTTGGGAAGATTCCAACCGATTCATAACCTTGAATGCTACAGCAAACTGAGCAAGGTTAGATGCTTACAACACCTTCGCAAAGACGAGTTGAGTTATACATTGTAAAGGAAAAAATGAAACAATTCGATCAGCGACCAGTGGTTGAGCAAGTCTCATTATTGTATTGTAGGGTATGGTTCGATCCTCAGTTGGGTCCGTGGATTCCAACTGCTGATGACTTACAAGCAAAAACCAGTTGTGAAGGGCTTGCCAGACTTTCGTTTAACATTTCCACTATCATGTACACAAGGTGATTATTCATACAACTGAATATACTTGTCCCTTACTAGTCTGCGATTTCGGAGAATGAAGTGTGCCCGGTTTCAGAGTTGCACTGACATATGGAAATCGGTTTCTAGATGCTCTGTCGGTGCTCGGTGCATGCATTCACTAACTGCGAACACAAACACAAACCTGTGTACACAGAAACAAACGAGAGACCACACTCGGCTGCCAACGTTGTTCGTGCGTCTAAAAGACCTGTCCGCGACGGAAGTTCGATTTGGAGAACGAAACAAATCGACAGATTGACAGAGACAAACAACTGATCCCCAGTCTAAACTAATGGAAAATCAGATAAAGCGCATCATTTAGTGTATGCCCACGATAGACGACATGTATGTGTTAGCTCGAATTGTGTGGAGAATAAAAAACTTGCAACATTGATGAAATCCAGTCAATTACGGCCCAGCTATGAGAGAACACGAACAGATATTCGATAGATAGACAGATATGCGCTAGTCCACAGTCACAATCATCTATAAAATAATGAACATTCATCCGCGAAACCGGGATTCATCTAGCTTCCCTTTTGCTAAGTTGAGCAATTTTTCGTAAATATTTCATCATTGCTGCCATCCATGTCTACAAAATCCCATTGCTACGGCCCCACAATTTCAGTTTATGCAACCAGTAACCGTGAATTGTAGTGCTTCGGTTTCCGTAACCGTCTTTCGGTTACCAATTTGGTCGAACATGTAAGGAAGCCCGAGAGCCGTGTCCATATAGCGATACACAATGGGGATAGACCAAATGCGTCGAACATGTGCCAATGCACAACATTCACTTATTCCACGAAGTAAGATGGATCCAGTCACATCACGCATAGAGACAGATTGATTTGTTCACTTGATCACCGAAACTCAGGCACAAGTATTTCGTTTGAAAACCTCTTGGATCCGTTTTAAACAGATTGATAAATGGATGAAACAGCGGATGCCCAGTGGAACTCAAACAGACTTTTGTAAAAATCCAAAGCATTCCAGTGAATTTTTCCTCTTTGTATACAGAATGAACTATTTTTAAAATACCCGCATAAACCATTGAAACTGTTTTTCTTCCACTCAAGAACAAACAGATACAGTTATATCAGTGGTTAACGATGGTCTCGGGATACTACGCAGGGGCATCAATCGGCTGAACACCAACCTCCAAAAATAAACCACCATCAGCTCATCGAATATGTTAGCCTCCATTCTAAACCACATCACTCTTATCATTCCAATACTGCAGAAATCGATTGTAAATGAGTTATAGTGTGTGAGCAAGTCCACCAATGAGGGGAATGATAGCGTGGTCAAGTCGAAACAATCACAAGTACAAGATATCAAAAGCCCATAGGGCATTTGTAAAACTGTGACATTCCTTGTTGCTGATTGGCAAAAAATTATAAGGTCGAAATAATGAGTTCAGACAGCCACTCGCAACAGACAGATCACAAAATTTTGAACGAGCTGAATTCAAATTATCGACACGGTTATTCTGGTTCTACCAATAGGAAATACGAAAGGCGTGAGATGCCCCGGTATGAATGGGAGATGAGTGACGGTGAAAACAAATAACGTGGTGAAAAGCAGAATGGTCCATAAAAACTTACCGATATTTTCTTCGCTCTCCAAAGACATACTGTATTTTTTCTAAAAACATGAGAGCGAGAGAGAAGGAAAAGGACGGATAGAGATAAGAAGTGAGACGTCATTTTCCAAGTATACCTTGCCATCCTAAATATACCTTCCATACAGCTATTAGCACACACGATGTACATTAAAGTGCCCTTTTTCCAACGAGAAGTTCGATGTCTTATCCCTAATGAACCAGACATGTTTCTTTAACAGCTGACAAACAGACGTTGATCAGGCAAAGTGCATTGTTATTTTGCCTCACTTCTTTTCCAATGTTAGAGGTTGGCGGACTGTTGAATCAATGACAATACACATCAAACTCGATCTTTCTAGGAAATGAAGTAAAACAATACAAAATTCATAGTGATCGGAAACTTGGGCTCTGTGACCCGAAGTGGGGGAAAACATAACGTCCAACTGGAGTTAGTATGGTAGGAACTGGATGATGGAGAAGCTATNGAAGCTATCTACCACTAATAAGGATAACAATCATCTCAATGGCGCGAATAATCAGGTGCGTAAGCGAACAGCCGTATGGTTAACATCATGCAACATATATGGTTAGCTTATTGGTTTTTTACTGTGATATAGCTATTATTGACCGCTTTTAAACCATTACATTGGAATTCCTTGGGCGAGGCACCAAACAGCCGAAATTCAAGTTTCTTAATGCTGCTACGATGTGTTATAGGCAGGACGGTTGGCACGCCAGTTGGAAGATTCCAAAACTTGTGAAGATTACCAGCCGCTCAAATAGTATAATATTGCGGAGTCGCAGTATTAGCTCCAATCGCGATTAGCAATGCTTTCCAATATGAATGCGGATCAAGTCAATACAGCAGAACGTCAAACGTATTAGGTTTATTTTATAGGCACACGGGTATCGTTGGCTGAGAGATTAAGTTAACAGATAGCTCACCTTTCTGTTACCTTGTCCCTGTTCTGATGGAGCCGGAGAAGCCGGGCGTGAATTCGTTTGGCTCAACTTTCCCATATCTAGTGTGGTCACAGAGGCACGACCCATTGTGAGAAACGTGCGCCCATTGCGCTCAGGCAATTGATAGTAATGTGTGTGCGCGATTTCCAGAAGCACAAAGGCAGACGCAAGGCCACCACGAAAGGCGTCATCGTTTGTGACCGGGGAACGAACTCGGCCAGACATATAGGCTTCCGAATGCACGTTCGCTTGGGTGGGTATGAACACCTCAGATCGCAGACTGACTTCCAGCCCCTGAGCGATCTGACGCAGAACCCAAACCAGTGCCTTGTACTGGCTCCATGAATCAACCGGCTAGGCAACGGGATCAGAAAAGCACAAAAGGATGCAGACAAATTGAAAAGTACTACAAAAAAGGCTAGCGTTTGTTAGCGGAAAGTTTACGTTCGAATGATGCACTGTGAACTTATAGCCAAAGACCATTTGTTGAATGTCCACGTCAGACAAAAGTGACCAATAGACGAACAGGGATATTTAACATCCAGGTGTTAGTGTCAATTCCTGATTATTGCTGAGACGGTCTAGCTTATCGTTCATGTGTTCGATACCCGTGTCTACTCCTCCCCCCCTACTTTCCCACTAATCGTTCGGCAGTCACCGAAAGTACATGGCTCCCTTTTCTTAACATCACATGAACACCTATTTAAACCTTGAAAGGAACTCAATATTGTCAAACAGTTTCATTCTAATATCCGAGATACGAAAAATGCGGAGCGGAGAGAGGCATTGAAAAGAATACTTATACAAAGTCGTCACAAAAGCAATTATTCGGAAATAGAGANTGATCCATTGAAATGACATTAGTAGATTCTCTCTTGATGTTTGAATTGTGAAAAGATGAATAGCCCAGGTGGGGTAGGTGCTTTGACTGGTGCTCTCAGAAGCATCTCGGTGTGACGAAGGCAACCGCGTTGCCTTTATCGGCCTGATTGTCAGTTTAGCCACAACCCCACTCAAAGGAGGGACAGAACAATTATTGGCAACTCACCACATCGGTCATGTGTGATTGAGAGACGGAGCTGTCCGCACCGCTAGTAGTATTGGCATTGTTCAAGTTCAATCGAGCCAGTAACAGATTTCTATAGTCTTCACATTCGAGCATGGAGATCA